CATGTCCATGGAGTACAACCTTAAGCCATTTTGGGGAAGATTCAGGTAGGGTCATAGACACACATGTTCAGTGGTCAATGTCCTTGGTGTCAGAGTGACAGTGACACTAGACAGGCCTATTTATATGTTTTTAATTTTTAAAAACTATATGTGTGTGTGTGTATGTATGTATGTATGTATGTATATGCATGTTCATGTGTATGCGGGTGCCCATGAAGTTCAGAAGAGGGCATCCGATCCCTAAGAGCTGGATTTACAGATAGCTATGGGCTGTCTGAATGTGGATGCTAGAAACTGAACTCAGGTTGACTCTGTAAAACAAGTGGTCTTAATTCCTGAGCCATTTCTCCAATCTAAAGAGAAGGGTCTCATATAGCCCAGGCTAGCCTTGAATTTACTCTGTTGGTGGACATTTGGTTCTTCATCTGTAAAATGGATGTTTAACATTAACCCTATGAACCATTCTAATGAGCCCAAGGCCCCTGCTGAATGCAAAGCTGTCTGGTGAGGAGACTGACCTTAGTGGCAGTTACCACTTCAGTCTAGGCACACAAGTTTGCTTCTTTTTTTTTTTTAGGAGGGGGGCAATGATAGCTATCCCTGGAGTATCATTTTCCATGGGGGAGGCTCAGGGAGTAGCAAGTGAGGCAGTTCCAAGTCTTGTTGGAGCTTTGGATATGCTAGGCAAGTGCTCTACCACTGAGCCACACCCCCAGTTGTCAGAAGCCATCTAGGGAAAGGCTAAAGACATGCAAATGAAATTTCTGGAGACGGCCCCCTGGTTTGCATGGCCTGTGATGGGTGAGCTCTGCGAGGCAAGGTCTCAAGAGACTTCATCCCAGGGTTGCTTATTACTGCTGACATGCCTTTTCCAGTCACTATGACATAGCTTGGGCAATAGTCTGCCCAATAGCCTGGGGATTCACCCACCGTATCGGGCAGACTTTCTGCAGGTCAATATGAAGATGCATTCTCATGTGTAATGCTGTATAGACAAATTGATGATTTCATAATCCCTAATAAGGATTTTATAGCACTCCTAAATTTATACAGGTAATCTCAGATTTTCTATGGTATACAAGCTGTAAGTAAGCACTCTGCAAACCTTCATGTGTCACGGGCTAATTGCACTAGAAAAAAGAAAGCAGTCTTAGAACAAATTTACGATCAAGGAAAACATTCCTTCTAGGTTAGGTATGAGATCATTATCAGGTAACTAATGTTCATAAACTGGAAATGGACAACTTACTGTAGGTGCAAGGACAGAAAATAAATGATGGATTACTCTATCGATACAGGACCTCAAAAGAAGGCACAAGGCAGATGATTTGTCTTTTGACAAAACTGTGCTAGCTTGTGACATAAAAATTATTGCTTTGAACTTATAATGAACTTATGGGGGGGCCTAGAAACAGATACTAAGTGTTTAGTGAGATGCTAGACTTAATGGAAAGATATATAAACAATTCTGCTGTTATTCCTTAAACTTTATCAACTTATGACATGAATTCTTGCCTTAAACTTACTATGAACTATTAGAACATAAAAATATCTAGAAAATCATGTGATCAATTATCCTGTTGTAACAGTTCTACCTGATAGTTGTATGAGGTAATTTTTTTTTTTCAGAAAGTATATAGGCTGAGAACAGAAATAAAGGCTTGTTGGAGTTTCTTTTTCTGTCTCATCCAGACTGAGTCTGAGTGAGTGTTTTTTTCTGCAAGTCTGGATTTTTTTCTCTATTTTTTTCTTTCATTCTTTCTCTTCTTTTCTCTCTGGTTCATGAAGAGTTAACAAACTCCAGGCCTCTTTCCTGGCCAGTAAGGGGTCTTTGAGCCAGAGAGAGAAGAGTCCTAGCAACTAAAAGTTTTTTTTACCTAATCCCCTGCTGCCAACAGCAGGAGTTAATTGGCAGAAACCAGTGGCTTTTAGCCACAGAATTACAAGAGAGAGTTAAGTTCCCAGAACAATAAGAGAGAGTTACAAAACCAGAAATTATCCGCCTTTGGCCTTTGTCTGATGCTGTGTTCCAATACAGTATACCAGGGCAGGTCCCCAGCACCCAGTCCTTCCCTGGAGGATTCTAGGCAGGGGCTCTACCACTGAGCCACGCCCCCAGCCCCTCACTGGGGGATTCTAGGCAGGGGCTCTACCACTGAGCCACGCCCCCAGCCCCTCACTGGGGGATTCTAGGCAGGGGCTCTACCTCTGAGCCACACCCCCAGCCCTTTGGGCTTGCACTGAAGTAACTCAGGCTAGATCCTTAGTACTGATCTTCTATCTCACTCTCTTAGATACTAGGGTTACAGACCTGTACCTCCCCTCCTGTCTCTCTCCACAGACTTTTGAAGATTGTCACTTAGGTTTCCCAGGACTCCCAACATCTGGGAGCAAGTTCAATGGCTCCCCTCTGCTCTGTGATCAATATGGTGCAGGCAAGAAAAATAAATGTATTTTCATTTGCAGAGAGCCCCTGGGAAATCGATGTCAAGATGGACACTGGGTTGGGGGTGTGGCTCAGCAGCTCAGAGCGTGCCTACCATGGGTTAGGCACTGAGAATCATCTCCAGAACTGCAAAAATAAATGTCTAAATAATTAAGTAAGCATAGTACAAGCTGCCATTTTTGTGGTTGCTGTTGCTTTTGAGACAGGGTCTCACTCTTTAGCCGGTTGGCCTAGAACCTATTATGTAGACCAAGCTAGTCCTGAACTCACAGAGATCTGCCTGCCTTTGCCCATGCTGAGATTAAGGGTGTGTGCCATCACCATGAAGCTCAATAAACTTTAGCAAACAAAGAACCAGGGTCAGGTTTGGGGAGGACAAATGGTAACTAATTGGTACAGCGCTTCATTTTGAGGTGATTACACATTCTTCCAAACCCACTGAGGGACAGGGATACTGTAGAGTACCAGCCTAGCATACATGCAACCCAGGGTTTTGCCTGAAGCATGACATAAACCAGGTGTGGTGGTGCACAGCTGTAACGTCAGCTCTTGAGAAGTAGAGGCAGGAGGATCAGACGTTCAAGGTCATCTTCATCTCTGTAGGGAGTGCAAGGCTAGCCTGAGGTACACGAGATTGTCTCAGAAACAAAACAACTTGCTATACCTATACTTAAAAATGGTGGTTAATTTTTCATTTTCTGAGGTTTCTCTGTATAGCCCTGCCTGTCCTGGCACTCGCTCTGTAGACCAGGCTGGCCTTGAACTCAGAGATCTATCCACTCACCTCTGCCTCCTGAGTGCTGGGATTAAAGGTGTGTTTCACCACTGCCTGGTAAGTGGTGGTTAATTTTTGAAAAATTATTGCTTTATTATTTTATGTGTACAGGTGTTTTGTCTGCATGTGTGTTGTGCATCACCTGCATGCAGTACCCAAGGAGGCCAGAAGAGGGCATCAGACAGATCTCCTGGAATTGGAGTTACAGAAGGCTGTAAGCCACCATGTGGTGCTGGGAATTGAACCCAGGTTCCCTGGAGTTCAGCTTGTGCTTTTAACCACTGAGCCATCTTTTTCATCCTAAAAAGGATGAATGTTTTGAATAACTGAATGGTATTTAAATTAAAAATTTAAAAAAAAAATAAGAATAGAGAGATGGCTAAGCAGTTAAGAGCACTTAGTACTCTTGCAAAGGACTTGGTTTCAGTTCCCAGCAGCCCTGTGGTAGCTCACAATGGCCTGCAACTCTGGTTCCAGAGGATCTGATGCCTTCTACAGGCTTCTACAGGCGTCTGCATGCATGTGGTGTGCATTTAGGCATGCACACATACACATTAGCTAAATAAAAAAAAAATGTTTTTATATGGAAAACATTAAAAAAAAAAAAAAATGGGGGGAAAATGTCAGGCATAATGTCATATTCCTATAATCCCAGCATTTGGGAAGCTACAGCAGGAGGCTCATAAGTTTGAGGTTAGCCTGGGCTATCTCAGGAGACCCTATCTTAATCTCCTTCCCCACAACAGTGGATAGCTCAGTAGGTAAACATGCTTGCACCAAGCCTGCCCATTTGAATGTAATCTCTGGAATCCACAGGTAGAAAGTAGAAACGACTTCCACAGGTTGCCCTCTGACCTTTACACCCATGCTCTGGCATGTGTGTGTGCACGTACACACAAAATAAAACCATAAATGTAAAAAGCAAAAAGACACTACCACCATCACCCAAAACTCCAAGTCTCAAAAACAAACAAACCAATCCAACCAACCAACCAAAAAACAAAACAAAATAAACAACCAAACTAAAGAACCTATAAAAACCTGCATTAAAAAAAATTTTTGTTTTAAAACAACAAAGAAAACAGAAAAAGGAAAAAGGAGGGAGGTGGGGGAACTTGGGAGGAGAAACACTTACCAAGGAAGCCCTCCTCATCTACGATGATGGTGTAATCCTCAGGGGTCTCTGTCAGACTGAAAAACTTGCACCTGAGGAAAAAGACATAAGAATAACTCGTCAGTCAGGAAGATCCCTGATGAGCGACACCACAGCCCCTCCCTGGGGGATTCTAGGCAGATGCTCTACCACTGAGCCACGCCCCCAGCCCCTCACTGGGGGATTCTAGGCAGATGTTCTACCACTGAGCCACGCCCCCAGCCCCTCACTGGGGGATTCTAGGCAGGGGCTCTACCACTGAGCCACGCCCCCAGCCCCTCACTGGGGGATTCTAGGTAGGAGCTCTACCACTAAGCTACATTGTCAAGTCCCTTGTGTACTTTCTGGTATGTGGTGGTGGCTGCAAAATCCACATCTGTATCAAACCCAAAGAACTATCCAATAAAAAGGGTGACTTTTTTTTGTTTTGTTTTTGAGACAGTCTCTTGTAGCCCAGGCTAGCCCTCAACTCATTCATCATTCATATTAGCAATGCTGACCTGCAATTCCCAATCCTCTACCTACAAAGGACTGGGATTGAAGATGTGTACCACCACAACTGGCTAAAAGAGCAATGTTTGCAAATTATGTATCCCAAACCTGATCTTCAAGGGGCTGAAGAGATGGTTCTGTGGTCAACAGCCTTTACTGCTCTTACAGAGGACATGGGTTTGAGTCTAAGTACCCGTATCAAGTGGCTTACCAGTGCCTGCAGCTCCAGTTTCTTCAGAGCCAACTACTGCTGACCTCCATGTGATACACATAAAGTCACACAGGCACATTCATACACATACCAAATACATAAGTAAATCCTGAGACCAAACGACTGAACAACGAAACCGATTTTCATGGAAGTGCCAGTTGGGGGCCAGGGGGTACACATTCCTTGTCTCGTGGATGTCCTGCTTAGGCCCCAGCACACACTCAACTCCCCTCCAGCCCCTTCCCTTTTCATTTACTTGTGTCTGTGCACTCATGAGCAGGCCGTGCTGCACACGTGGGCGCCAGAGGCCAACTTGCAGGAGCAGGTTCTCGCTCCGCACCATGTAGGCTCTGGAGATTGAACTCAGGTCATTAGACTTGGCCTTAGTCACTTTCACCCACTGAGCCATCTTGCCAGCCCTCTTTGGTTTCTTAGGGATATCTCTGTCCATGTCTGTTCCATAGCCAATGTGGAACTTTGTTGTTATTGTTGTTTTGAGACAGAGTTTCTCTGTGTAGCCTTGGTTATCCTGGAACTCACTTTGTAGACCGGGCTGGCCTCGAACTCAGAGATCTGTCTGCCTCTGCCTCTCACGTGATAGCATTAGAGGTGTGTGCCACCACCGCCCAATTGACTTGTAATTCTTATCTAGAAAAACACAATATAGAATGGCCTCAAAGAATAGCGGCAAACTCTCGCCTTGTCGGCTGTTGGTACGCTTGTGGGGTTCCATCACCGGGGGCCCCACATCCTCAGAGAGAAACCTGACACTCTCAGTTTCCGGATGGTTGAAGCAGGTGCATGCTGGGAGGGATGTGGCCTCCCAGCTGCCTGAGAGCCTGGAATTCAGGAATGGGCAAGATACTTCCTCCAGCCACCCTCAAGGCTGTAGGGACACTCCAGAAATAGACCGGACACACCGGTCTAGAAGGTATAAACAACCAGCAGACGACAACCGGGGCCTCTGTGGACATGAGGTATAAATAAATAAGTTGTTGAAGTGACATGTCCCTAGGGGCCAGCCAGCTGTTAGATGTCCATCTCAATTCAATGTGCATACTGGCTCAGAGAGGACCTTTAGGACAGAGGGGACAGAGGGACCTGTTGCTCTCACTGGTCACCAAGTGCCCTGTGTCTTCACCTGACCCTCTAGGGCAGCACTTCTCAACCTGTGGAGTGGCATATCAGAGATATTGACATTATGATTCATAGCAGCAGCAAAATTACAGTTATGAAGTAGAAATGAAATAATTTTATGGTTGGGGTCACCACAACATGAGGAACTGTATTAAAGCGTCACATGTTAAGAAGGTTGAGAACCATTGTTCTAGGACTGTCTCCTTGTTATTGTTTGTGTATGCATATGTGGGACACACACACATACACACACACACACACACACACACACACGTCCTGATGCATGTGCCTGTATGTATGAGCAGCCAGGGGAGGGTGTTGGCTGTTACCTTCCATCGGTCACATTATTCCTTTGTGACAGGGTCTCTCTGGAACATGGAGCTCACATTGTTTTGGTTAAGTTGGAAGCCAGCAAGCCCCAGCGACCTCCTGTCTCTGTACCCGCAATCCCTACCACAGGGCATTTCAGGCAAGGGCCATACCAGACCTGACTGGGTGCTAGGATCTAAACTCAGGTCTTCATGGTTGCACACAGACCCAGGAGAGCCTGGAGATTGCAGCAATCCCTCTGCTTCAGCTTCTTAGGTGCTACAATTACATGTATGTATTACCATATCTCCCTTTTCTTTCTTTTTTTGGTCTCTCTCTCTCTCTCTCTCTCTCTCTCTCTCTCTCTCTCTCTCTCT